ACCTTCCCACCAAGGGAGGTCATTGCAAAGAGCATGTTATAAATCCGTAAATTCTCTCTGAAATTTCTGCTGATTGCATCTTTCCCTTTAAGAAGCTTCTTTATAAGCTCTGGTGATTCCTTGAGAAATGGCAATTTCACTGTGCCTTGACCACAACAGAGTGTAAATATGGGATCGGTACGAATGTTTCTTTTGTTTATGCGCTCATCAAACCACATCAAAGCACCACAATACTTACACTTGTATGTAGGATCACCATGATCTAGATAGCCTAAAGGTAAAATAGAGTGTTACTAATATTTACTTTTCATAAGTATGCTATATGAAAATCAAATAAAGTTAAATAAAAAGGTATGCAATAAGTTCTAACCTGTTTTCTTTGCTTTTGCTGCTGCCCTCTTTGTGGGGACATTTTTTCTTGGCCGACCTCTTTTCTTAGGCTGATTTATAGTTTGAGTAACTGCTTTCCTTTCTACACTTTTCCTACTAACACTTATAGTGGGAGTAGTGAATTCAACAGTTGATTCATCAGCTGAACAACTCAAATCAATAACTTCTTGTGGAGAATTAAATATCTGTTCAACATGAGGTTCCTGAATAGGAGCCGAGTAACATTCTTCTAATTCATCTTCTGTGCTGCTAACAGAGTAGTTTTGTGTACCATCAGATTCACTGTCATTCATTCCAATATAATTAATATCCTCTATACTTTCATCATCAGTGCTACAGTCTGTAAAGGTTGGTAGTACGGGTTCTTTTCCTTTTCCTATGAAGAAAAAAACAGATATTATTAAGTAATGTATTTAGGTAGTAGATGGAAAAACTCTGAAAAGTAAGACAGTATCTTAAGAGATGTCTGTTACCTTTGTCTGTAGGAGAAAATGATGCATTAGCAAAGGCGTCTTGTAAATTTCTGATATGGCAGTTATTTTCTTCTGGAACAGGTGTATAGCCTGACGGTTTACCTAAGCCTGAAGTAGGAAGAGCAGTACCAAGTGTTTGATGTGTCTGTTTTGCACGAAATGATTGCTGCTGATTGGGAGGGGTCTTACGTGTGTCATCATTTCTGCAAGCAAGATTGGTAATATCTCTAAACACTCTGCTAAAGGCTGATTTGAGTGGAACAGAACTATTTGTGTTCAAGACATTAGCTTGAGTAATTTGGCTCTGTAGTGTTGGAGTCTGAAATACACGTGATCTTTTAGCTGGTTTAGGAGAAGAGTTCAGGTCTAGTAGAGGGTGCTTAGGCTTACAGATAGTAGTTTGAGTAATTTGGCTCTGTGATGTTGGAGTTTGACCAACCTGGACTCGTTTATCTGGTTTAGGAGAAGAGTTCAAGTCTAGAAGAGGGTAGTTAGTCTTAGAGCAAGGAGCTTGAGTAATTTGGCACTGTGATGGTGAAGTTTGACCAACCTGGACTCTTTCCTCTGTTTTAGGTGAAGAGTTCAAGTCTAGAAGAGGGTAGTTAGACTTAGAGCCATAAGTTTGAGTAATTTGGCTCTGCGATGTAGGAGTTTGAATAACACGGGATCTTTTAGCTGGTTTAGGTGAAGAGTTCAAGTCTATAAGAGGGTAGTCAGGCTTTTTTTTCATAATTGAAAACAAAAGACTCACAGCGAGTTTATGCAAAATGGTGCTTTTGATAATCAATGACCTTCATATTGAAATAGCCTTTTCGAAATTAAATGGCAGATACGCCAGCAATCCACTAATATTGATCTGTTGAGAAAATATAGTTACTTTCTATATTCTAGGCATTGAGATAAAGTTAGATGGTTCAATGAGAATATTTTCATAATCTGTTCAATTATTTTGTTAGTGATTCATATAATAATTGATAAGTTTTTAAAGCTAAGTTTGGTTGATAATTGCGCAGATTAAGGAAATACAGGAAGCAATGAAGATCTTGATTGATGCTTCTCTAAACCATACCAATACCAATAAATAAGGTATGCTTTCAAAACAGTTTCTTAAACCAAATCATTTACTTGACTAAAGTAACAAAATGGCCAAAATATTTAGGTTTCTGATTTAGTTTGAATTAAATTCATAACTAAGTTGTAACCTTTATATATAAATAGGCTTTAGTCTTAAACTTGTAGACATCAAAATATCAAAAAACCACACAACTTGTAGCCCAATATCAATACAGATTAAAATATTAAAGAGAAACATAGTTTGCAAACTCTTGTGCAGAGTTGCAGTAGTAGTTAATAAAACCAAAAGAAAATTAAAAAACATTCAGAGTTCAAAAGGGAAACTGAAAACATAACACCTAAAATTCAAGTTCTCCATAAGAGGTAGCCACCGTAGCATATCCACCGATATTCCTCACAACTATTAGTTCTCCTCAACCATCTCCATCATGACATCTTCCTCATCACTTGAAGTATCTTCGAATGAGCGCCTAACAGAAAATAGTTGCATTTATATTAACACAGAAAAATGAAAACATTAAAGAAGTCTAAAATACAAATGATACTTACAGGTAGCTTGGTATGTCTAGCTCATAGAAAATGGGATCAATGTACAGACGTGAACAGCAAGATTCACTCATTAAGACATTGTTTCCTATAGTACAATAATGAACACAGTCAATATAACAATGCAAATATAAGCTCAGCAAAAGCAAACTCTCATTAAAACCTACCACAGTACGATGAGATCCTCCAGAAACGCAAGACTGCAACTATCTTATCATAGTTGTAGTCTACAGAGCTAATTCTCCTGGACCAAGCGTTGACAAAGAACTCACACCACTTACCAATAGCAACGCATTTGATAGTCTCACCCCTAGATTTCATGTAGCCATTAAAGCATATTGTTTTTACCAGATAAAACATGATAACAAACTTCATTATCTTGTACAAAAATAGACAGAAATATTGATAACTTACACATTGTTAGCAATCTTGAAACAAACATAGCGAGCTTCATAATCTGTCTCCCCAGGACGACAAACAAATGGAAACCTTCCGATGGTTGAAACAGCAGAGATCACACCCATAGCATCTAATTAAAAACACAACACATAATGGTCAGAAAGACATATAGAAAGATAACTATATAACTTGAACAAAGTGTCTTCTATTACCAGTCACATAGGTTCCATCATCTGGATGAGGGTTTCTGAAAGAATCAGGAGTCACAAAATCAAAGAAATTGCTATAACCCTTAGATCTAACAGGCCAAATGGTTGTTTGTCTGATACACCTAATCTGAAGTGGCATGGCTGCAAATCTGGTTTGGTATTCTGAGGGTACGACTGGTTGGAAGTCAGACATGTAATACCACAAACCTTCTTTGAGTCCAGGTTGAAAGTTCCACATGTAATTGTCTCTAGGAATTGTTGCATCGCAGAAATTACCCTAAAAAAAAAAAAAAAACGTTAACAGACAGTAAGTAAAAAAACTCATAAGATGATCTTCACTATGTTTTAAAACAGAAGGTAAGAATTTCAAAAAAACCTTCTCATCTGCGAGAATCATGGTGGTTAAATCACCATTCAATGGTGGATTGTGATGCCAGATACGCATTATCTTAACATAAACCCTCCAATCTGTAGAGTTAACGCGAATTTGGGAAAGAAGATGCATATCAACCATTTTTTTAACTATTCTGCTCTGCTTTGAAAAGCGAAGTTACAATGTTTCTCTCTGTATGTCCTTCACGATAGGTGAAGTTGGTTATATAGAGAGATTGAGTAAGAGGCATAAAATTTTTAAAGAATAAAGAGGAAATCGAAACGTTATTACTTGTTTTAACAAAAATTAGATATTTTTTAGATTATAGAGAATCATTGGTAATGATTGAAAAAGTTGTCAGTTACCAAATGATTACTTTTAAAGATACACATTGTACATTGTAGATTTATCTTTTATCAAGTTACCTGTTACTTATGGAAGCTAGATTTGTTTTGCATGATTTCTTATCGAAGTTCCCAAATTAAAAGTAACTATGATTTCGTGTACATTATATATAGACATTATATATTAATATTACATAATTTTAATATCCTGTATATATATCAAGTTAATTAATATTCTCATTTAGTTATAGCTATATATTCATTTGTATGTCTATTATTAGACAAATGAATTAGGTATATAGATGAAGTTGTAGTATTAAGTCTTTTTATTATTATTGCTATTCTAGTATAGAATAAGAATATAAATAAAAGAAATGATATAGTGAAAGCTAGTTGCATTCGTGAAAGAGTAACAATAGAAAGGAAACAGAAAACAGAATAGCAAGAAATAAAAGAAAGCAAAGTCTTAGAAATCTGAAAGCAATAAGAAAACAAAGCATGGAATAAACCGGTTCACAGCAACCATTGTTCACTTCTTTTCAACCTTGACCTTCACACCACCTTTAACACTTTTTCCCTCCTTCTTCACCTCAAGTGTGCCCACTCCACCATTGGATACAACATTGTTAATCTGATGGTCATATTTGATAGCATCATCCTTGATCACCACAGAAACATTGGGAGCTATGTCCTTCACATTTCCCTCTTGATCTTTAGGAATAGAATCTTGATCACCAAAGTCAATAGGTTCAATGCACAACTTCTTAGAAGAAGAAGAATGATCAGAAGAACCGGGAATGTCGGCATACACACGTTTAGATGATGGAGTGACAGAGTCAGAAGTCTCTTGACTCATCTCCAGCATTAGTGGCACCTGTAGTTAAACAAAGGATGAAATTAGTACTATAGCCTAGCTGGTGAAAGGATCCATGTACTTCTGCTTGTGTTATTCAAAAATGTTCTGTCACAACAATTACCTGATCACCAGACACTATAGATGCAGGATTGACCAACTCCTGAGAATCCTCCAGCAACTGTTCTTCAAGCAAAAGGCCATCTTTCTGCAAAACTTTAGAGACCTTGTATATCTCCTTCCCATCCCAGATATTCTCTTTCTCAACACACACCAGGAAAAGGAATGTCCTTCCATATAGATTCCTAATTGCATCTGGTATGTTGTCTGGGTCATCAATCTAAAATTTAAAACATATCAGGAACTTGTGTGACTAATACAATGTAGACATATATTTAAATATAAAGTAGTTCATGAAACCTCATCAACGGAACCATTAAGCACAGATGGAGCAGACTCGCCAATGATTTCAGAGCAAACTGAATCAAAAAGTAACAGTTTAGCCTCACCAGTGTTGTCCATCACATTAGCATAGAGCATAAACCTGCATCAAATGTAAACAATTATGTAAGATATCTATTTTACATTTACAGAATAATAAAATGTCAATAACGTAGTTTTTCACCTAGCCACGACATTAGTGACAACAGATTTGCAAGTGTCACACCAGAACCTCGGCTTCTTCCCTTTGTTATTCACACCATTCACACCATTCACTCCATGGTGGATATGTGTGACTTTCTTGTTGCAAGCACGACAACTAATGTAATACCATGCCCAGTCGGTATCAATTGCATAGATAGTACACATTAACCTTGCCTTGCCAATCTAACAAAAACTTTAGATATGAATATGGATATTTATAGACATTAAAAAGTATTTGTAATGATAGCTTACTCAAATAATTACCTCGACAGAGTTAAGGAGATCCAAAATGGTCTTCCTAGGATGATCTAAAGAAGTATCATCCTGATTGGCAACAACAATCTCAAACTTTGGGACTCTTTCACGAAAGATACACAGTGCACCATCAGTTGGGAGACTATATGTCAATAACATGAAATATATAGGTTAGTTCCATAGTACATCTATATAAGTAGGCTAAAGATTTAAATCACATGAAATGATTACCTTTGAACAAACACAGCAACTTCAGGGATTGCTGGATTCACAAAAACTTGTGAAGCATCAAATGAGTTAGACAAAGTCTTTACACCTGTAGAATTTTAATAAGATGTATGCACCATGACTTTGCTCTAAACAGTATCAGTATATTATTAAGGCTGGTAAGATTCTGTTTTATGTACCTTTAAAGGATTTGATCTTCACAAACCTCAACAAACATACAACAGGACGCCCACCAGCAGTTTGGCTTCCTCTGTACACAGTCTCAGCAAATGATCCCCACAAGGTAACACCGATCCTTTCATCACTTTTTATTTACAAAACAGAACATATTATGTAGGATCATAGTAGATATATGGATAAAAGATTGAAAACACTTACGTCTCATTTCTCATCTCAAACTCAATCTTGCTAGTTGGTTTGTTGTTGGCCTCAAGAGTCAACAACTCTCCAATCATAACAATCTGGCCAATAACATCTATAAAAGAAAAGCAGAGGTAAACATATTTCATGATCTGTTTGTAAACTGTTGTTTATCGCATTTAATATATATATAAATAAAAAATATACTTACCAACCAATATGTATGGATTAAGATCTCCATTTTGAATTCTTTTGAAACTGGCTAGTGTCAGGTAACTTGAGTCAGAGACAGGATCACATGGAAATACATGAGTTCCATTTGTGAAAGTCATCTTATATAGATGAGAGGTTGGACGGAATTGGCCACTGGCATAATTGAGAGCAAAGATCTCAATGAAAACCCAATGACCAACAGGTAAACTTGAGACATATCTGCTCACCAGTTCTTTCTTCACAGTAGCATGAATCTTCTTGCCCTGTGAAAGAACAAAAAACAGTAGAGTCAGAAAAAATAATAGCTTTAAAATGGTTTAATGTAAACTAATTCACAGTTAACATTGGCTACTGAATTACCTCCATATCAGATAACACCAACTCTAGAGTTTCACCAGTGTTGGCTGTGTACTGCCGCCAGGAGTGAAGTACCTTCACTTGGACTCTCCATTGTGTGGTGTATGGCCTGACATCTTTGAGGTAAGCAAATGTTGCAGCAGCCATTGTTTGATGGTGTATGGTAAGATCTAATGTTTAGATTAGAGGCTGTGAGGGCTGATGATAATGAGAGGTTAGACATGGAACTATATATAGGGTCATATATTAGGTTAAAGAAAACTTGATCACAAAGCATATTGGTATCGCAATCTTGACCAAATCGGCATAAAATCTTAGCATTGCTATAGTTATGGAAGTTAGATAAATGGTTAGCAATAAATAGGATGTGATCATCAGAAATATTTGGGAAGGAGAAGATAATGTAAAGATACTCTGGAATGATATGAACAGAGGATAGGTGGGAAACATAAATTCAATTAGTAGAGGGAAATACATATTTGGAAGTAATTTAAATAGACATGATATGGTCTGTGAGCAGTTATTTGTTTTGATTGTGTAAATATTAGTGGAATCAATTAGGTATTATTAGCATCATTTCGATATTTGATTATGGAAATAGTTTATGAATATGTCAAGTGCGAAATAATAGCTTAGTAGAGCATCAAAACATATTTGGAAGGAATTTAAATTGACAGATACTGTAAATAACTTTAATGCAGATTGCCTTGGCGAAAATAAAGGAACAACGGAGATTGCATTTGGCGAAAATATACTTAAGGTATGAGAGATGTTATTTGAATTGATTTTGGTAAAAATAAGTAGAAGAATTAAAGACAACATGGCTTTATTTATTAGTTTGAAATTAATACAACATCCCTTAAATCTCTTATTCTAGATCCGAACAGAATTAAACCGGGTCAAACCCGGATCCAAAAGAATTAAAGCAAAAAAGTACTGTAAAAATGTTAATATAGATATCAAAAAAGTTATTCATCAACTAAGAATTAAGATACGTCACTAATGGATTTAGAGTATGTGAGTATACGTAATGGTAAACTCGATGGAGATTGTGTTCTTAATTAATTTACTTCGGTAAAAAAAAAAAAAAAAAACCTTTATTATTATGTGTAACGGTCGTGTGATCGTGTCACAAATGTCATACCGCTTTCTTTAGGTGCATTGCATTCACCCACATTCATGTTTGCACACATTTAATTTTTAGTAAAAGAATATATAAATGCAGCATAATAACCAAGTCAACATTTTGTGAATGTTGACTATATACGATCGCCGCCGCTATATCTATCTACTCATATATGTCAATGTTATCAAGAAAACATAAACAGATCATTGTTGAAACAAATTTAAAACAGTTCAATAAAAAATTGTCCCCAACATTTCAATAGTTTAAGGATATTAAGAAAACAATGAAGTAAGTGCAATATTATTGGTAGTCTCTTAAGACAACTTTTATGTTAAGAGACATGTCTTATAACTAACAAAAATGTCTTATTTAAGAGACTTTTAGTAGTTATAAGATATGTCTCTTAACATAAGAATTGTCTTAAGAGACCATTAATAGAATCGTCTAAATAGATAGTTGGCAACAAGTAAAATCAATGAAGAAGAAGTAAAGTTTTACTGTAAAACCACTGACCAATTGGGGGTAACGGAGACATGATTAATATTTCTTAAGTACATAACGTTATAAACTAGTACTATAACTAAACTAATAAATTAAGAAACAATGGAAGTCGGTGATTGGGTGAGTGAATAGAGAAAAAGGACTAATGAGAGATCGAAGATGGCTCTCTTCACGCTTTTGTCGAAGCTTCTTCACAAGTAACGGTCAATCTGATTAAAGAACCTCACGAGACACGCATTCTTTTGCTTAATGGGACTTCTTTTTTTTAGTAACATTTTATTAATCTTGTAATTTACGACTAATTGTAACGGTCATTTTATTGGTAACGGTCAATCTTGTAATTGTAATTTATTTTAAAATTAATTAGAAACCGAATCTTCAGTTTTTTTACTAATAAACACAATTAGTTTATACGGATTTGGTGTATCGTCGGACTAATTCTCCTGACGCGGACGTAGATCATTCCATTTCGCATCTTCGGAAAATAATTGGTGTCTTTGGTTTCTCGTAATGATTCAATATTCTGATAGTCATTACAGTATTTAGTACTCATAATGAACAATATTCATCAGTAAAACACATCTCAACGTTGAAAAAAAAAGAAAAGAAAAGATGTTGCTACATGGAATTGATATCACATAATATGCATTCTGAGTTATAAACATTTCATTCTAGTCAAACTAGACAACGAGAAGATCATCAACTTCATGTTTCTAATTTTGTTTTTCTCTATATACTGTGTATTTTTTCATTTTGATATGTAATCGGGTTTCACTATACAATATTTGTTTCATAAGGATGAAAGCCCATTTATCGTGTAACGATATCAGAGGGGAACAATAATTACATATATCATTATGTTGATTGTTAAGAATATTAAAACTTCAAGTAGTTTCATCGTTATTCTAACAAAATTGACTATCATAGCAATTACATCAGGAGGACAATAAACATATCTATCGTTTTTTTTTCTCCCTCATTTATTTAATCAAGCTGCAGCATGTTTGGTAGGAGAATATAGCCGACAATCAAAATCAAATGATTAAAAAATTGTCAGCTTGTTCATTTTAAAACATCAATAAAGTCTTCGTTTAATTATGCGTTATCAAACTATCTAAGAACCTCAAATGGGGGTTAGGTTTAACGAAGTTGTCTGATATTGACTTGCCTTTGTTTCAATATTTCACACATGTTCTAATTTTTATCATCATTATGCTCATGTTCCATATATGTACGTCGTGACTTCTTAAGGTCGCCAAAGTTTGACACAAACAAAAGAACACGACAAAACCATTTACAAAGTCCAAATGATAATATTATAATGAGAGTTGATACAAAAAAAAAGTCATCACGAAAATGCATTTATAAAAGTCCACTGATAATATTGACCTTATCTTCAGCCTAAATATATAATTCTCAAATCGAGGACGGCAACAACAAAATATATATATATATATTACCAATAGAGAGATTTCATCCGATTTACACTTTCGTTCATACCTGATTTTTTTAGCTTTCGTTGGTTTTTATATCTTTCAGGCATAAAACCCAAAATGAAAGTGATTTTTTTTTTTTTTTAATTTAATGGTAAATTATATTCAAAAGAAAAATAAACGTTTCTATAATCAATGCAAACTTTTCTTAAGAAACATTTTAGATAGCCAAAATATCCTCTTTATAGTCTTGATGCAAACCAGGCTTGTAAACCGCCCTCGTACTTCAGAGCTCCCCCACCTTTAATCGTGTTCAACCGGTTGGGCACATTTTTGTCTATCGTCTTGACCAGCATTTTCGTCGGGGTGGGTTGTTCCCCATGTCTTCTCCTGTTCCGTTCGCTCCAGATTAAGTGTATAGAGTTCTGGAATGTATACCTCAACAAATAGCTTTTTATCTTGTCCCAATCATTTCCTACATGAACCTCATTATCTCACGCCAATTCTCTTTAAATTTTTCCGAAAGAAGTCCCAAGACTAGATCTTTGCAAACCTTGTAGGAGTACGGGCATAAGAAAAACAAATGGTCTCTTGTTTCTATGGGTTCGTCACAGAAAACACAGACTGAGTTCGCATTTTGATTCCAGTTTAACATTCTTTCCCCTGTTGTGAGTCTGTTCTTGATAAGCAGCCAAGTGATGAAAGCATATTTTGGAGTTGCGTGGAAAAACCAGATCTCCTTATACCCCTCCATTGTCGGCTTAGCAGTACGAATTTGGACCCATGTTTCCTTTGTTGTGAATCTCTTTCGATAACAGTTGTTTTTCCCACGCCAAAGAGCTATATCTACCTCATGTTCACGCCGGTTCTGTTTCTGGCTTTTTATCTCTTCCTCCACACGGTTCAAAATGAAAGTGATTCTACCCTTATACAAGTTTGCTACGGTATGGTTTTTGAGTTTTTATTTATTTTTATTTGTAAGCACACACATTTTAATTGATTATATGGAAACATTCGCTTCTTCGACAACAAATGATATGGAATGCAAATGGTTACCCAAACTATGTAAGAAAAAACAATGGTCAATAGTTTGGGTCGAATTTTGTCCAAGACCGGATCAACAACTCTAGAAACTCCAAAATCTTGTCGGGAACTATGGATCAGTCCACGAAAGTCAATTATTCGGTTTTTATTCATTTTGTCCTAGTTGACATATCCTTATCCGTAAATTGAGTACACACATAAATTATGGTGCATTTCTGCGCTTATGCAAAATTAAGAGATATCTCAAACGTAATCTCCTTTGCTCGTGGATCGATAAAGAGCTTTGCGTACATACGCTCATTAGAGTATCACAGAATACAATCTTGAATACGAGGAGTTTTAGAATATGTTAACAAACCTTAGCGTGTGTGTGTTCATCAAAAAAGTTGCAGAACCGAACAATCTTAATTTCTCATGGCCAAAAAAAGATCCCACCAATGTTTTGATTAATGGGGTTCCATTAGTCTAGTCCAAGATTGATCTTTGATTTCTTTAGTTCCGCATCTCAAAACATCTTCAAACCAGCGGTAAAAATCACATAAAGACATGACACCATATTATTTATCCAGGTCTAGATGTTCAGTGATGAAGAAAGATACAGCGGAAGAAACAGATAAAGCTATAAAGAAAGCTGAGTTACAGAGATAATGAGAACGAGAGCGAGAGAGAGAATGATAGAGATCTTACAGACTCACAGTGAAATTTCATTGCAAGAACTTGTCAATACTAGATGTGAGTGTGGTTTTGGGCACTGCACCAATGATTGTATCCTTCTTCTCTCCATTGACAAAGATCATGATCGTTGGGATGCTTCTAACTCCATACTGGCTTGGGGTTGAAGGAGATTCATCAGTGTTTAGTTTGTAGAACTTGATCTTCCCGGTGTACTGTTGTGCTAGATCATTCACGAGCGGGTCAATCATCTTGCAAGGTCCACACCATGGTGCCCAAAAGTCGACCAATACAGGCCCATCTGCCTTAAGAACTAGAGAGTCCCATGTTGAGTCATTGACCACTGGAACTGCAAGGATCAATAACAAAAATCAACACCTTATTGCTAAAGATTTTAAAATCACGAATGAAAGCAAAATATATTAGCCAAGATAGAAGAATAATATGCTTCATGAGTAATAACCAAAGAGACAGCTGACCCGTTTATCCATCTTCAGCCAGATGGGTATGTTGTAACAAGTCTATATGATATTTACTAAAGCGATCTAGAAATGAAAATGTCTCAAAACATAGATTTGATAGATGAGCATATCCAATGAAGAATAACGCTTCATGTTTTCACCAGAGAGGAGATACCAATGACTGAGTTAACATTGTAGCAGATAATCCTGCTAATCTCATTAAGTACATTATCACGGGAAAGGACTTACCTATCTAAAATCGTAGAACAGCAATGCTATTGATAACCAAAATCGCTATCTGCTGGTATAGATCCCAGAATCAAGATATGTTTACTCTAAAGCACAAAATCCACATTCTTCTCTCATGAGCCAAATAACTGTTTATTGTCACAATGTGTATGATCCAACCAATAAAGTATCTGAGTAGGTACCCAACCTAATTTCTAGGTTGTTCACTTAAAAACTGCGAAAAAGAATTATACATTTCCTTGCTAAAATATCCACAAAAAGAAGAGATCCTAAAATGTATCATTCTTCAATTTTCACGCAACCAGCATGAATTGTTCCTCTAACAGAAACCTCATTTTCAGCATGAATTTCCTCAAACGTATCCTCTCCTAAAGAAACTCTTCTTCCTCCAGATTCAGTAATCACGAACTAATGACAAGTTTTTAGCAGATTACAAATTACTAAATGAGTATAATAACAACACAAATTCAAGAACCTAAATTCTAACTACCCCACACAAACCAATCATAAACACAAAATCAGTTCAAAATCCATCAACCAGCAAGAATCAAGACCAGTTAATAACCAAAAATCGAAAAGGAAGAGTGAGAAAACATACTATCGGTAGTAGTTTCCTGAGCTTCACAGACGATAGCTCTTCGTAATCGAGAAACCCTAGGATGATGATGAATCGAGGTCAACGAAGCCGGAGAAAGAGAAAGACGGATTCTCAAACCTGATGATTCCGGTAACACGGCGAACATCCGCCGAGAAGAGAGAGAAGAAGCCGATGGTGAGGATACGATTTTGGTCTCGGAACGGAGAGAAATCGGAGGACGAGAGGTACAAGTGAAAGCAGCCATGGCTCGATAGATAGAGGACGAGAGAGATTCTCCTAATCCCCAAGTGTAAAATAATATCCAGATAGAGAAATTAAAAAGATAACGAAACTATGGAAGAGAAACTGATGCACATGTTTTTTATACATCAAAACAAACAAATAATGTTTCTTTTTTTCATTTTTTGAAAAAATTAAGTTAAAAATATTTCTGTCAACTCAAAAACAATTTAACTACGGGAAAATTTCCAAAAAAAACTCAAACTAATTTTTATTTAGACGTTTAATGCCCAATTATTTTGGATTGGAATAAAAATACCTCATCTAATTATTTGTGGTTAAAAAATACCTCATATATAAATTATTGGTAGAATCGAACACGCAACTTAACGACTGTTAACGGACGTAACGGAATTATTTGACGGTGTTAAATTTTAAACTCATATATTTTAATCTATATATACAATCTGTTTTACATGACTTACGATTATGTTGTTGTGGCTTGTTGGTAACATGTGACTTTATTTAGTTTACAAGCTCGGATTCGAGACCAACTGAATGTCATTTTAGTTATTTTTTTGGGTTTTTTTTTTTGTTTCTCTAAAACCCTAGACGTCGACCAGTGGCGGAGATTTGTGGCGGGGGAGTCTGTGGCGGAGGTTTGCGGCGGGAGTCTGTGGCGGAGGTTTACAGCGGGGGAGTCTGTGGCGAAGGATTACAGCGGGGGAGTCTGTGGCGGAGTTTTGCGGAAGACGTAGCGGTGATTTATGACTCGATCTAGGAGCAGAAGAGTCTAAAAGCCTTGAAAATTGCGGAATTAGAGGCTCTTGTTCATAAGTTTGATGAAACTATCATCTCTGCGACTGTAGTCGACGGCGGAGATGGGGAGGAAACAAATCCGATAAAGGACTATATTTGACTGGTCGGCGGCTAGGGTTAGAAAAACAGGGAAAAAAAAAAAATTGTCCCAGAAATAACCAATCACGCGTACAGTTGGTCTCGAACCCGAGCCTAGTCGACAACCGAAGCACGCGTTACCAACAGGCCATAACAACATAATCAGAAGTCTTCTAAAACAGAAGGTATATATCGATTAAAATATATAAGATTAAAATTTTCACACCATTAAATAATTCCGTTACGTCCGTTAACCGTCGTTAAGTTGCGTGTTCGATTCTACCAATAATTTATATATAAGGTATTTTTTAACCATAAATAATTAGATGGGGTATTTTTATTCCAATCCAAAATAATTGGGCATTAAACGTCCAAATAAAAATTAGTTTGGGTTTTTGTCGAGAATTTTCCCATTTAATTACGGTTACGAAACTTTTTTGGGAAATAATAAAAAAAAAATGAATTTTCTGATTCGTTGAGCTGTAGATATGATAACGGAAAAGAAAAAAATTATTCAATTTAGAAAAACAAAAACCCTTAATATAATTAATTTCGGATGATAAAAACAAAAAACAAAAACCGTTAATATTTTTACGTTTGGGTAAGATCGTGCTCTGAATTAGCAATCTGTTAGCCCAGTAAACTTTTGAGATATTCCCTATTGGGCTTATATTAGGCCCATTTATATATTTCGACTCTAGAGAATTGGAGTCGTAAGCATTCGGATTTCACTTCAGGATTAGCCATTAGGATATCAAAGCTGATATTGTGGATACTAGTTATTTACAATATATACATGTTCTCAAAATCTTTACTTTTTAAGTAACTTTTAAGAACATGAAAAAAAAATTTGATCGTTTTGAGTTATTTAAGGATGTGTTTTAAATTTTTGCGACAAAGTCGCATCATCGACTACAAAACAAACTATTATAGCGATTGGTCGTTACGTTGATCTCAGTCGCCAACAACTACTAAACGAATAAACTTTTAGTCATTCATACTAGTATGAATGTGTTATCATTTAAGTTTATAAACGGTTTGGTCTAGACTCTCAAGACATTTTTGTAAAAATAATTCTTATTAATCTGCAAACGATTTTTCTGCAACATTTGTGTTAATAATCTATTGGCCGTTGCTTGTTTATGATCTTCATACTTGACAGCTAAATCTTGGTTGATGGTTTAAACCAAAAAAAAAGTGAAAACGGCAGATAATAAAACCATTTTGAAACTAAGTTTCTATAATTGGATTAATTTCTAGACGTAGGAGAATGTTGAATTTATTCTCTTCATGTGAAAACACTTTTAATAGGTCACCCACTTCAAGACACTAAAATATTTCCATTAACTCATAAAAGTCCCACAACAAAACTCTAATTTTGCTTTTCACTGACTTTTTCGATTTAAAGCAATGTTAGATCGACAGTCAGAAGCAAAGAAGATTTAGATTAAAATGTGAAAATTAAAACTAAAAAGGACTTGTTGTCGGTAATTATCAATATATACTGTTGACGAAATCGATACAACAAATACGTACATTCGATTATATTAGAAAAAATGTCAACATTAATACGAGCCCAGCAGACAAAATCACCGAAGAGGCCACCTATAAGTTAGGACAACGGCTCAATGAAAAAATGATACTTGTTTCTTCTATGAGGTCATCGTTCATGAATCTAACAATAATAATAACTACGACATTCTGTTACGTCATCAAAGCATACTTTACATCTTTAATTCGAAACTATGACGACATCTATTTTAAAAAATATTGACTTTGTGGGCTAGGTTTTCAAATAATAACCACTGTAATCCGTGACGGTGAAGATAGTTGAAAAATCTCAACTAACACGACACATCGCAATCGCCAATCGATATATATATATATATATATATATATATATATATATATATATATATATATATATATATGGTTGATTACCATTTAGTTTATTTATTGAGTTTATGTGTTTGTGTTCTTACACTTCTCCCTGATGTTTCTGTGCTCTCACATATTTTTCTGTTTCATATAAATAAATTTGAATACTAAATCGATTGACCGATCGATATATGGTGAAGTTGACAAAGAGAATAGGAGGGCTTGTGCTGCGATTGGCAGCGTTTGGTGCGGCTCTTGCCGCCTTGATCGTTATGATCACTAGCCGCGAGAGAGCTTCCTTCTTCGCCGTCTCTCTTGAAGCTAAGTACACCGATATGGCCGCGTTTAAGTATGTACAAAACTTCTTATATTGTTCTTCTTTGTGTATGTGTGTGTGTGTTAATTGCGGTACATATATATTAATGTAAATTATACATCTAATGAGTTATGTGAATATGTGGTAATAAAATTAATATAACATGTTTTGCAGGTATTTTGTGATCGCAAATGCTGTCGTGAGTGTTTATAGCTTTTTAGTTCTGTTTCTTCCAAAGGAGAGTTTGCTTTGGAAATTCGTCGTCGTCTTGGATTTGGTAACAATTTATATTCTCTGCATGATTTCATTTGCATTCTATATTTTAAGTTCGTTTGGTTATTAAAGTGATGTTATTATCTGGTTAATTTGTGGATATTAACAAAGGATCCTAAATAAGTATTATTTTAAGATCTTCATTGAAATTTTTCATCACATATTACTGGCGACAAAAATGCAATGAAATCAACATTTCTGTGGCAAAAATTTCACAACTATTTTGCAGCTTTTACATAATGATTTTCTCGTTATACTAACTTACTAAGTTTTGGTCCAAATGGTGTAATTCAAGAATTGAAGATTTTGATATAATGTATCCATATATGATATATTGATCATTAGTTCAATTTGTGTTACATGACCGACCACCTGAATTTTTTTCCGAGTGTACTGTTTTGTTCGTTTTTTGTTTTTTTTTTTGTTATTATTATCACAATTCGAGTGATAATAATATGTATAAATGTGTATAAATGTCAAAGACGATGATTGATAACTGATGGTGGTTAATTTGCGTTTATAGGGATAGATGAATTCGTTGGGTGGAAAGTTAAAACACTTAGATTGAATGCTACCTAATTAGTATTCGTGTCTTAATAAAAATATTTCTTATCGTTTGTTAGGTGAGATTAGCTAAAATAATTAATATGTTTAATTTTAATTGTGTATCAATTTTGTTATTAACCGTGATGAAGGTGATGACCATGCTACTGACGTCAAGCTTATCGGCGGCTCTAGCGGTGGCACAAGTGGGAAAGAAGGGAAACGCAAACGCAGGTTGGCTTCCTATTTGCGGTCAAGTTCCAAAATTTTGCGATCAGATCACTGGAGCTTTAATTGCCGGTTTCGTTGCACTCGTCCTCTACGTACTCTTACTCTTATATTCTCTCCACTCCGTCGTTGACCCTTTTCTCCTTCAGAAATCTTGAATCTAATTTTTTTTTTTTTTTTTAGTATCGATCTAATTTTACGTCGCTCATATATATATATATAGACACATAAACATAAACTTCGATCGATGTCGATTTGAGACGTAGCTCGTGTGTTGTGTTTGTATAATTTCTTTGTATGAGTGGAAACTTTCATGGCTTTGTTTTTCTTCTTTCTAACTCCTTTTTATGGATTAAAATATATAATTACCATCTTAAAGTCATTTAGATCCCAAATGCGATTAGATCATCGTTTGATTATTTGTATGGTTATCAAGTGTGCGACCTTAAGTATACATATATTTATAGTTAAAGGGAACATTTTCTTATTTGTATAATGTTATTATAGTTTAAGGACCATAAGAAGAGTTAGCTGAAAATACACATAAAGAGACGAATGAAAGTATAGTTATGTGGGACACTGTTTTGTGTGTATCCAAAAATTATTTTAGTATCGCAAACCAGCCTGTCTTAAGTGGACATTTGGAGTAACAAAGTCGATCATCGGAAAATTAACGTTAAAGTTGCTCTAAATCGTGTGTATCTTGTTCTAATGCTTGGTGAGGCACATGCGACCATTTGTTGTGTCAGAAGAAAAGGAAGATTCCACCTTATCGATTATAATCCCACATGCCTATTATTTAAACATATACTGTAATAATTTAGTCCCAGAAGAGAATTTCCTTATAATTAATCAAATTTAAATATATTTTGTGTTGTTTATAAGATGACTAGATTCACTTGATTTTTTTAATACTGCTTGGTCGTTTGACTGGTCAGGATCCAGAATAAATCAATAAATATATTGTATATTGGTTTGTAAGCAAAAAAAATATTCTCAAAACGGTATATGAGTATGTGGAAGCAGTGGAAGCCCCTTTGGCCCTTTGGTTGAACAAGGGTTAATTAATGCTTCTATACCCAGAGGTCTGGGGTTCGAGTCCTATATACTGCGATTTATTAATAAATTTGCAAATTATTGGAGGCAAGTGTGCAGGAGATCTCCAGCGATGTACAATTATAGCCGTTCGCCAGGATTCTACGCAGAGAGGGAAGTGTCCATCAGTGATCCCACAACGTTCATCGAGTATTCCTCAATCTTTTTAACTTATAAACCCTAAAAGTTGTGCGAAGCCGTAGTCACATGGTAAAACTTTGTTCATGCCTAATTTGTGAGAAGAAGAAGAAGAAATGAGAAAACGACGACGTTTCGATACGCACCGTAACGGAGTTGACTAACACCCGTTAGATTGACTCCGATTTTTACACGTTGTATCAAGTATAGGGTATGAGATTCAAATTTTATTGAAGTTTAGGTTGTAAAATACCCTACAAAATTGTCTAGGTATGAAAATCCACGGCACAGACAGTACGGGTATGAAAACGACGTCGTTTTCATACATGTCAGCGTACACGTGTACGATGACTCAGCACTGTAACGGAGTTGACTAACACTCGTTAGATTGACTCCGATTTTTGCACGTTGTATCAAGTATAGGTATGAAATTCAAATTTTATTGAAGTTTAGGTTGTAAAATACACTACGAAATTGTCCAGGTATAAAAATCCACGGTATAGATAGTACGGGTATGAAAATCCCCTTTTCCCGGCTCGAGAGTATCCTAAATTCCCAATGGACCTCTTGATGAGTTCCAAGCCAAAGTTATGAACGATGCAGGAAACGAGAAACCTCCTTTCCCTGTTCTCTGCAGACCAAGTCCTAAACTCTCTATTTGGACTTGTATGATATCATTCTTTGTTTTTGAAGTCATTTAAGTATGTCATGTGTAAATGTGTCAGTTTTGATTAGATCTCATGGGATTGTTAGACTGTAATCTTTCTTTCTAAATTGCAGATTGGGTATGCTGACGCCTAGCTAACCAAGGCCCTATGACTAATTCTGTTGTGCTTTTAACGGTTATATTTCGGATAGTGCATACTAAGAAGATAGCACATCGTGTAGAGAGATAACGATGATAGAAGTGAATCCAAGGACATAATTGCAATTGAAAATTAGTTCGATTTGTCATTAGGAAGAAAGAGGAGATTAACGGATCGAAAACATAGTTCATCAATTATTTATCAGGAGCTTTACAAGGCCCCAGAAACACAAACCACCAAAGTTTTAAAAGAAACGAGGCATAAACTTCTTAAACCATAACAGAGACGAGTTTTAAAAACCACCACGGAGACGGAGGACCAAGTGAAGAGTAGACTCTTTCTGGATGTTGTAATCGGCCAAAGTGCGACCATCCTCAAGCTGCTTTCCAGCGAAGATGAGACGCTGCTGGTCCAAAGGGATACCTTCCTTGTCCTGGATCTTAGCCTTCACGTTGTCAATGGTGTCGGAGCTCTCCACTTCAAGGGTGATGGTCTTTCCGGTCAAAGTCTTGACGAAGATCTGCATACCTCCACGGAGACGCAACACCAAGTGAAGGGTCGACTCCTTCTGGATGTTGTAATCCGCCAAGGTACGACCATCCTCCAACTGTTTTCCGGCGAAGATCAACCTCTGCTGGTCCGGAGGGATACCTTCCTTATCCTGGATCTTGGCCTTCACGTTGTCAATGGTGTCGGAGCTCTCCACCTTCCTTATCCTGGATCTTGGCCTTCACGTTGTCGATAGTGTCAGAACTCTCCACCTCAAGAGTAATCGTCTTTCCCGTTAGGGTCTTGACGAAAATCTGCATACCACCACGGAGCCTGAGAACCAAGTGGAGGGTGGATTCCTTCTGGATGTTGTAATCAGCCAACGTACGGCCATCCTCCAACTGCTTTCCGGCGAAAATAAGCCTCTGCTGATCCGGAGGAATGCCTTCCTTGTCCTGGATCTTGGCTTTAACGTTGTCGATGGTGTCAGAGCTTTCCACCTCAAGGGTGATAGTCTTTCCGGTGAGAGTTTTAACGAAGATCTGCATCTGTATTTCAGAAAAAAATTGAGATTAGTCGACAAATCCGATCGCACAAATAAGAATCAAATCCGATCAAGAAACTAATACCAGATCTGGATAGATCTCAAAGATAAAACTCAAATTCGTTGAAAAAATCAGATCAAATTCAAAGAATCGACGAGAAAATAAACAGATCAACGAAAACAACGAACCCTAATCGAGAATTAAGATGAGATCTAACGAAGAAACTCAGAACTTTTAAGATTAACCGAATGAAATTCAAAGAACAGAAACTCAATCACGATCGAACGAAACAATACGAAGAAACTGAAAAGGAACCCAGAAATCTACCTTGATCACGGTTGAGAGATTTGAGAGAATGATTTTAGATTGTTTGAGAAATTTGGAATCTGAATTGTGAAGAAGATGAGGTCTTTGGGTATTCATTTATAGGAAAGAGAAGACGAAGACGACTCGGTCACGAGAAAGCTAAGGCGGTGAAGCAATAACCAATAATAAATTGACACGTATGTATAATGACGTGTATTGAGCGTTGTTTAGACGCAAAGTTTTTTTTTGGCTAATTACCTTATTTGTAGGTTAGGAAAAGTATATGTGCTTTGAGTTGATAAACACGTCTCGTTGCCGGCTTCAACCACTTTAACGCCGTTTATTTACAAACTTGTCGACAACCACAATTTCTAACGGCCGTTATAAGATCCAGACGTTGAGAGTTAACGATCGTCACGATATGTAGTATTTAGTGTTATCTTTTTAATTTTTTTAATAAACGGTGGAGCTGAAAATTGGCAATAATTAAACTGCGGGTCCCACTTCATCAAAGCCTATCTCGTCTTTTCTTCCTTTTTTTGTTTTTTTTTGCCATTTTCTAATGCAAGTGGGTATAAAATCAGAGATTTTCTAGGAAAAGTAACTTTTTATCATAAAACAAATTGTGAAATAATCCATTTTATTAGTGTTATTGGATATTTTTGCATGATTTGCATAAGAGACTTTTTGGATCAAGTTGGTGAAGGTGAACGAGTCTAATTAAAAGGCAAGTTGTTTGGGTGACTCGGTTTAGTATATATAAATGGACCTCATTTGGGCCTGGGCCATATTTAACACTCGTGACTTCTTCTTCAGTCCAATAAAGCTTCGTCCAATAATTTTTTCATTCTTGTTAGCTCTTCTAGTCTTCTTACTAAATATTTGATGGTCTCTTTCTGTTAATCTTTGTGCTGCTAGTGTTTCCATGTTGTGTTTGCTGCAATTAGGGTTTATAACTTGTAAGTGACGCTTGATCGCTGCTTTAAAGGGAATTCAATAACAACAACAAGTTTCAGCTGTGAAATAGAAAGCAAACTTTTGAACAAAACAAGAGAACTTGAAGAAAAGATTAAAACCTATAAGCAAAGAGTAAAACCTACAAATAGGATAAAATCCACATAACTTTCTGTTGCTGAATGTATCATGCATAGTTTTTGTGTCTGGATATACAAAATTTCTAAACAACTTTTTTGAATCCAAAGAAAACTGTGACTTAAGAGGCACGAGTAAAAGACGACTCATAACGTCGGGGAACCATATAAACTGTTTCGGCTGGACCAAGAACACCGTTCCACTCGAATGACTGATCTTCATTCAATATTCTCTCCTTCATTCTGTCCGCAAAGAAATATCCTTCATGAGGCAGTTTTATATAACCCCTCCGAATACTTTCAACCAACTCGTTTCTCAGTATTTTCACTTGATCCGTCGAGCTCACTTCCACCTCAATAAATCTCTTCAATCCTTTACACTCACTTGAAAATGGCATCACATATACTTTTTTCTTCTGCTTCGGGTCATTATCAGGCGCATTTAAAATGTCAGAGATCTCTTCGAGACTGAGTACTGAGTTTGACGCTGGAGATTGCTCCGTTTGATGCACTTGAACCGTCACAGTCGAATCTTGAGGTCTGTTGATGATATGCTCTGCTTGGAGCTCTTGATTCCTGTTGCTTCTCCCAACCGTCACAGACGAATCTTGAATCTTACTGGTATCTTGGGTAACACGTCTGGGAACAATCACTATTGTACCCGCGTTTTTGACACCGTTCCACTCGTATGACTGACCTTCCTTCAATACTTTCTTTTTGTTCGTCAAGAAATACCCATCTCGAGGCAGTTTTTGTATCTGACCTCTCTGTTGACGCTGAAACAACATCTCTCTCAGTTTTTTCACGTCATCCGTAGCGTTCACTTTCACTAGAATATTTATCGGTAACACACGTACTAACATGCTCCCAACCTTCACAGACATATCTGAATCCTAGTGATCTCTTGGTCTGATTTTGACTGTGGAGATTGCTTCGTTTGAGGCACTTGATCATTTTTGTTGCTCTTCTTGCCCCCAACCTTCAAAGACGAATCTTGAGTGTTAACGGTCTCTCTGACTGAGTTTGACGCTGGAGGTTGCTCCGTTTGAGGCACTTGAACCGTCACAGAAGAATCTTGAATCTTACAGGTCTCTTGGATAACATGTGTGGGAACCATCACAATTGTATCCACGGGTTTAACACCGTTCCACTCGTATGACTGATCTTCGTTCAATACTTGATTATTGTGTGTAAAGAAATACCCTTCTTGAGGCAGTTCTATATCACCTCTCCGTTCCCTATGAACCATCTCGTCTCTCAGTGTTTTCACCTCATCCGTAGATATCACAGTCAGCAGAATATTCTTCGGGACTTCATTCATACCAGAATATGGCGACACACCTACTACCATCTTCCTCTTCTTCCGGCCTCTTTTGTTGCTCTTAGTGATATTTTTGACTGAGTTTGACTGTGGAGGCACTATATCGTTGTTGTTCTTATTCGCAAACTTCACAGACGAATCTTGAATGTTAATGGTCTCTTTGACTGAGTTTGACGGTGGAGATTGCTCTGTTTGATGAAGCACTTGATGATCATTCTTGTTGCTGCTCCCAACCGTCACATGCGAATCTTGAATCTTACTGATGTCTAGCATTGTCTCAGGCCGATAACTGTAAATCTTTCTGATCTCTTCGGCTGTCAAAGGCCAACCTTTCCTCTCAAAGTACTCTTCAACTGAAATCCACGGTGCTGGAGATTGCTCTGTTTCCGGCATTTGATCGTTGCCGTTGTGATTATGGTTCACGTCAGGAGAGACTTCGAGCTGGATTTGAGAATCGTGGACGATCTGGCATTGGTCGAGGTTAAGATCCTCTCGAAGAATAAAAATACCGTCGACGATAAGGGTTTGTTTCGAAACTGGGATACGTTGAGACTTCTCGATCTTCTGTTTGACCACTAACAATGTATCTTTGCGATCCAGTTCAATCTCGAACAATGAACCACTCAGAATCTCGACGAGGAACTTCATAACTGTATCAATGGTGTTTCAAGATCAATGGAGACTGGTGAAGAAGAGAGTCAAGAAACAGAGAGAGAGCAAGAGAGAAAGTGATTGTTTTGTAATTTGGTTTTTATATCATTTCACTCACGTATCAAATGAAAGTCAATTGGGCTTGGCCCATATTTCTTGGGTTACGTGGTTCTTAAGTCAATGAAAGCCTCATCGAAAAATTTAAACCGTTGATAGGAACTCATCATATGACACGTGTCATCATAAGAGAGGAGCAACCGTTAGTCTGTTTTAACCGATCCTGCAACTAGAAGAAACAGAGCACAAAAAGGAACTCATCAGACCACCATTAATACGGATATCTTAAAGAGTTCTTAAGTAAGAAATGTGACTTAGCTAAGACCCAAAATTAAGAAAAGTGGTTTAGCTAAGATCCAAAACTAATCTTAAGAACCAACCACATGTCATATTATTAATTTAATACTTTTTTTTTTTGAATAACCGCGGGTCTCCCAAAGGCTTCCTAGGCCCAAGGACTAATCTCACGAGGCTGGCAATTCCCCTATGTAAACTTGCCAGTGGCCGTGCCTCGAACTCTGGTGGCGGAAGTCACAGCTGTGACCCCTTTACCACTAGGCCACAAGGCCCGGTTATTAATTTAATACTTCTAAACCATTTTTAAGATACCATTGTTAATCATGCTCTCAGTGTTATTAGAGCATGAGCAGTGGTAGAGATTCATAGAGTCTCTCAAAAAATATTATTTTAATATTTTTAATATAATTTAATTGTTGTTTTATATTAAAAGTTAAAAAGAAAAATCAAAGTCAATCAAATTTTGCCATGTGTGAAAGGGGTCTCTAGAAAGGTTCTCATATGTTCTCATTTGAGAATCGATTCTCGTTTCTCATTCTTCCTTTTTATTATTTTCCTTTTTAATATTGTTGAGAGACTTCCACTGTGAATGCTCTTAGGCTTGTGCAATCTACGTATGTCTATGTGTATATCCAAATTTTTTTTGTGGCAACTAGGATTTAAGTCCAAATGACTAGTAAATTAGATGTTCAAAATTATTAGATTTTTTTCCAAAAAACATATGAAAGTTAACTATATCAAAGAGTAGAATTTGATAAAAAAAAAAAAATGCAAATAGAAGAAAATTAAAGAACAAAGAAGGAGATTGGGAGGTAGAAAAGTGAATAAACAATTATTTAAATCCTTGCTATTGGTGTGGTCAACGAAATTGAATCCTTGCTAATGAATTATTGGTGGGAGAAAGGCTCAAAAAAGAGAGGGATTCCATGGATAGCTTGGAAAAGGCTACAATATTCGAAAAAGGAAGGAGGATTGGGCTTTAGAGATTTAGCAAAATTCAATGATGCACTTTTAGCAAAACAAGTTTGGCGTATGATCCAAAATCCGAACTCCCTTTTTGCAAGATTAATGAAAGCTCGATATTTCAAAGATGACACAGTGTTGGATGCAAAAGAAAGGGCTTATCAGTCGTATGGTTGGGCGTCAATGCTTACAGGATTAGCACTTATAAAAAAGGTTCTCGTTTTCAAGTGGGTGATGGAAACACGATCAGAATGGGGATTGACAATTTGATAAGCTCACATCAACCAAGAACTCTACAGGTGAATCAAAATTTTGAAAGGGATACTTTAAAGTCGTTAATTTCAAGTACTGGGACTTTCCGATTTTGGGATTCTATTTTACTTGATAGAATGGTTAATACAAATGATCATTCATTCATAAATAACATTTACCTCTCGAGAATCCCAAAACCGGATAAACCAATATGGAATTACAGCGATAACGGAATGTATACTGTCAAATCGGGTTATTGGCTATTAACACATGATCCTGGCGATTCACAAGTTCCTCCTCCGATCCCTCATGGGTCTATCGAATTGAAAAACAGAGTTTGGAAGCTTCCTCTACTTCCAAAAATCAAACACTTCCTTTGGCGAATTTTATCAAAAGCTTTGGCTACTAACACCCGATTAAACACTAGAAGTATGAAACTGAATTCACAGTGCTCTCGATGTTGTAATGGAGATGAAACGATAAATCACTCTCTCTTTACATGTCCTTTTGCAATAATGACCTGGCGCCTCTCAGGCACACCGGCCTTCCAATATCATTAGCCTTTCAATGATGTGGAAGAAAATATTTCTAAAATGCTAGATGTTTATGACTCTTCACACACAACTAATGAACAAAAACTATCTCAGTTTTGGATTCTTTGGACGATATGGAAAGCGAGAAACAATTTTGTGTTTAATCATTTCATAGAAAGCCCATCAAAGGTAGTTTTGAAAGCAAAAGCAGAGACAAATGAGTGGATCAAAAACACTGCTACGAAGTTGGTATTATCTTCGATGCCACAATCTACCAACAGAGAACAGCCAAAATGGTCCACTCCGGAACCTCCCTTTGTGAAATGTAATTTTGATGCCAGTTTTAGCCAAATATCATCGTATGCTCGTGGAGGATGGATTATCCGTGATCAACAAGGTACAACAAAAGCATGGGGATCTTTGGATTTGAACGGTGCAAATTCTCCGTTGATGGCCGAAGCGAAAGCAATTCTGACTGCAATGCATCAAGTATGGATACGAGGATTCACCCAAGTAATTTTTGAAGGAGACTGTGAATTATTGATCAATTCAATCAACGGAGACATCATGCATAGTGAAATAGAGAACCTGCTGCAAGACATAGATTTTTGGAAAGACAAGTTTATACACATAAGGTTTAATTTTGTTAAACGATTTTGTAATAGGGTAGCAGATAGTCTTGCTAAATTTGCTTGTTCAAGTTCTTTTTTCCTTCCCGATTCATTGATTCCGCCAATATGGCTGGAGGAACTTCTGTGTAATGATTTGGTATTTTAATAAAATAAGTCTTGACGAAAAAAAAAAAAAAAACAATTATTTAAAAATATGATAAAATATATTTCATTTTAGAGATCACATCATCACACTGCAAAAATAAAATAAAAAACAAATTTAGCTTACTTTGACGTTTGTTTCAACTTAGCAAAAATATTTTAAAGTGTAACGCAATCGGAAAGTTTTCGTTTGGTGTTTACAATCAACAAAGGAATTTTGCTTAAGAGGATTTTTAATGATGTTTTATATGATTTTTATTATCTTTGACACATCGATAATATGCATATGCATATGCAAAAAAAGAAAAAAAAAAAGAGATAATATGCATATGCTTATTAGTTTATCATCCCTCTTTTATTATATCTCAACTAAACACCAACTTCATGAAATAACGAGAAATAATGAGCTATTTATTAAAAAAATAAAACCAAAACCTTTGATAAAATCTGAAGAATCTATAATTATCTAAACTAACTTAAAAAAAAAAGGATACTAAACACACTGAGGATAAAGAAAAAAATAAAAATTTCACACATTGAAGATAATAATGAAAGATTTCCAAAGATCTCGTCACTCCCTCATCTTCGCAGGTTTCCAAAGCGAATATTGAGCAACGACGGTGGATATTGCACTTGATCATTGTTGTTGTTGCTCTCAACCTTCATGCTCGTCGAGACGTTCTTGTCGCTTCTTACAATCGCCTGCGAATCTTGAACCTTACTGATCCCTTGTGTTGTCTCAGGCTGATAACTATAAATCTTTCTGATCTCTTCCTCTGTCAAAGGCCACTCTTGTCCCTCAAAGTACTCTTCCGCTGAAACCAATGGTGCTTGAGATTGCTCGGTTTGCGGCATTTGATCGTCATCGTTGCGATTAGGGTTATCATCATCAGCAGAGACGTCGAGTTGGATATGAGAATTGTGGACAATCTGGCATTGTTTGACGTTAAGATCTTCTCGAAGAATAACAATGTCGTCGACGATAAGGGTTTGTTTGGAAACAGGAATACGTTGAGACCTCTCGATCTTTTGTTTGACCTCTAACAGTGTATCTCTGTAATCCACTTCAATCTCAAACGATGATCCATTCAGAATCTCGACGAGAAACTTCATAACTTTATCAATAGAGAGAGACGGATGAAGAAGACACTGAAGAAAGAGCGAGATAAAGTTTTGTAGAGCAAATTTACGTAGAATTTTGTTTTTATAACGTATCAATTGGACCAGATTTGGGCTTGGCCCATATTAACTTTCTCGGTTACGTGTTTCTTAAGTCAATGGAAGCCTCGTCAAGAACCTAAATCGCCAATACTCAATAACTACATATTCTTCTTACTATACAAATCCATTGGTAATTTTTTTTTTACAATGACTGTCTCTGTTCTCGTCCCAATTCTAATTCGCATATCAATTCTACAAACTTTAGCTTAATCCATCTCCTTTGTTCTTTAGTCGTACCCCTTCGATTAGTTTTTTTCCTCTTGATTTAAAATAACTGTAACTTGTTATTGAAGCTTTCTATTAGGGTTTTTTTAGCTTTCCTATTTTTATGGTTGTTCTGCCTCGTTAGATAGATAAAAATTATCTACTGGTGATTAATTAGATCAGAAAGAATTTCTCGTTCAATCCGAAATTGGGAGATTCATTCAACGAAACTCCTTTCGATCTTTACTAGATTTCTAATAACCTTTTAAGTCATATTGGTTGTGTTGTTTGATATGATGTCATTGATGTGGCGATGTGCTATTTTCCTTCTGTGAAGAATATGATATAGACCATCCGATCGGAAATGTTTTTTGGAGAATGCAGAGAACTTAAAACTATTCAATAACAACAAGTTCCAGCTAACAAATCTTTATTGGTAATTACATGTCATAGAATATATACAGAAACCTAAAGAAAATTTGGAACAAAGCAAGAAACTTCAAGAAAAACAAAAAGCTATAAGAAAAGACTAATAAAAGCTTCAAGAAAGACTAATCTCAGCGGAATTCGGCATCACCAGTATTGTTACTACTATCTTCTTCATGTTTTTGCTCACCTTCACAGACGAATCTTGAATGTTAATGATCTCTAACCGAGTCTGACGGTGGAGATTGCTTGGTTTGAAGTTCTTGATGAGCCGTCACAGTCGAATCTTGATGACCGTTGATGATCTGTTTTGCTGCGTCTGACGGTGGAGCTTGATCGTTGTTTCTCACCGGCGAATCTTGAACGTAAATGATTTCACCGGTTTCAACAGGGCAAAAAGGTCGAATTTTCAAGACAACTTCAGTTGTCAAAGGCAAATCCTCACCGTAAATGAGATCTCCGATTGAGTTTGACGGTATAGGAGATTCCTCCGTTTGAAGAACTTGATCGTTGCCGTCATTAGGGTCACAAGGGTCCGGAGAGACGAAGAGTAGGACTCGAGAGTCTTGGAGAATCTTGCATTGTTCGATATCAAGATCGTCTTCAAGAACCTTGCATCGGAAGAAAAGGGTTTGTCTGGGAACAGAGATACGTTGATACTTCTCGATCTTCTTTTTGATCTCCAACACTGTGTCCCAGTAACCTAATTCAATGTAAAAATGGAGGATAGAGAGAATGCGAAGAGAGAGTGTTTGTAACTGTAGGAACAACGAGTTTCGATGCGCTTGTGAAAGCAGTGGTTAGTGAAGATGTTAAAGACGAATTGCAGAAGAGAGGATTTACTCATCTTCTCATTCAAATGGGTCGAGGAAACTTTTTCCCAACTAAGGTTCTTAATCATCTTCTTAAACTCATTTCTTTATTTGATTGCTTTTGATTTGGATGTGATTATGAAAATTGGGTTTAACTCTATATTTGTTGTTGTTGTTGAATTGTACTCTTCTCTTGTTGAATTTTGTATTGAATCAGATTCCTTTGAATATCGTGCCTCTATGAAGCTTCTCATTTGTGTTTTTTTTCTTCTTCTTAATGATCCCAGTGTGATGGAGCAGATGGATCATTAGTTGTGGATTACTTCACATTTTCCTCGAGTATCGCTGATTATATTCGGTTTGCATCTCTTGCTATTAGTCACGCTGGTTAGTTATGGGACTATTTAAGTACTTTTACATTTAATAGAGTCAAAACCAGAGACCCAGTTTCGAAATGCTAGATTATAATGTCATTTAACTCTCAATGGTGCCGATTCCCAATTCCAAATCAGATACGATTAAAACGGAAGCAATTGAGAATTATTAATCACTGTAGCTAGGTCCGATCGACACATACCTGAGGACACGCGAAAGCACCGATTGGTCTTAAGAGGCAGATCCAAGAATCTTGCTCCGATCTATGGCGTGATTTGTCTCCTCTGTCCTTTGCTCTTCCACTCTGTTTTTATTAACGGCAAACTACTGTTTCGGATTATTTGTGCTGGTTTGTAATGGGCTTTGGCCCAAAACTAACTATTTTTTTTTTCTTTTCAATTTATTATTAGCTTTGACCTATAAAGTGTTGTTCTTCATAAAATTAGAGCTTAATGACAATATATCTTGACACATAAAGTGTTGTTTTTTGTAATGAGCTCCAGAAAAACCGAAATTAGTTGACAAATTCGATCGCACAAAACCAGATTTGGATAGATCTAAGAGATAAAACTCAGATTCTTAGAACAAATCAGATCAAATTCAAAGAATCAACGCGTAAAAACACAGATCAACGAAAACAACGAACCCTAATCAAGAATTAAGATGAGATCTAACGAAGAAACTCAGAACTTTGTCTCCGATCAAAGATTAACCGAATGAAATTCAAAGAACAGAAACTCAATCACGATCGAACGAAACAATCACGATCGAACGAAACAATCACGATCGAACGAAACAATACGAAGAAACTGAAAAGGAACCCAGAAATCTACCTTGATCACGGTTGAGAGATTTGAGAGAATGATTTTAGATTGTTTGAGAAATTTGGAATCTGAATTGTGAAGAAGATGAGGTCTTTGGGTATTCATTTATATACAAGAGAAGACGAAGACGACGTCGGTCACGATGAGAGAAAACTCAAACGAGATCGCAGCAAAACAAAAGACCATCCCGATGCTATAGCTAACATAAATAAAGTAAAACAGATACGAATCTAGTAATATTTCATGGATGGTGTTGTTCGTTTGCTCATTTGGGATATGCATCCAAATGCTCCATCCAAATGATCTATCTGGCTAATCCATCTGAATGATTTTCGTTTTCATTTTTGGTGGTTCATCTGGATGATCCATCTAACTGCTTTTGGTTAAAACTTTGTTTGTTTGGTTGAAAACCATTCTCATCTAGATGCTTTTGATTAGAAAAATGACTAAAATGCCCATGTTTTCATCTAATTATATTTTAAGTCTTAATCTTAACCATATTAATTTTAATTATTGATCAAATATATATATTTACAACCAAACAAATTTCAAATTATTATATTTGACATTTATTACCAAAAAGATAGCATCTATATAAGCAAATGTAGAACTAATTAACTCTCTGTTCATCCATTAAAAATCTCTAGCTCCAAAACATGAATCTAAAAAGGGAAACATACATTTTTAATATCCATAAAAAGCATTACAGCTATACAAAACAAGCAAACAATTCCATCAAAACTGGGAACCACAAGAAAAGTCATAACCAGAAAACCAAACCAATGTTCTTCCAGAAACGATTTCTAAAGTCTAAACCATAGAGTAATAGTACAAATATACAATAGTAAACATGCAAACACCAATCTAAAATTCATTGCAAAGCTCTCTGTGGTCTTCAAGAAATTTGATGGTAGAAGACTAATTAGATAGTCAATTATTGTGCCTTAATGAGCTAAAACCAGAAACATAGACGCTGACACATACTTGCGATTGAAAGTCAAAGAAAGAAATAGAGACAGCTTTCTTTGGATTCATAAGAGACATTGAAAGACACTCATTGAGTAAAGAAAGAAATAAACACAAAATAAACCTTGAAACATTGACACATAGAAAAAAACTACTTCATAAGAGACATTGAAAGACACTCATTGAATGTAAGCAACATATCAAAACCATTGTAAAATCACTCAAAACAGTAGAAACTATTGTTCTTCTCCCTATATGGTTTATGGTTTATTCAGAACCATTGTAACTCTCTGGTAACTTCTCTTTTACTATGAAACTAAACATAGTAGCAGCAACCTCCACACTAAACATAGCCTATAAGCATTAGAAACACGAAATCAAACAAAGCCACAACACTCGTCTCCATTGGTACACATAAACTCAATACAAAATCATGAAATAGAGATATATCATACCTCTCAAACAGTGGTTGCAGCGATTTCAATCGGTAACACCTGAAACCCACTTCGAAATTTCAATGACTAAAGGAGAAATCGAATCCAATAATCAAACCCATGAGTCTTACCTCTCAAACAGTGGTCGCAGCTAATTCAATCTGTAACACCTTAAACCCACGCACGAGAGAGAGAAGAAGAGATCCGGCGAAGAGATCAAAGAGGAGTGGAGTGGGGTGAGAAGATCAAAGAGGAGTGGATTCCAGTGAGAGATCCGGCGGAGGAGATCATGCGACGAAGAGATCCGGCGAAGAAGAGATCTCGTTTCTCTTCTCTACAGAGATGGCCAAAGGAATGTTATGTGTCGAGGATGAGGAGAAGAAGGAGAAGAAGGTTTAGGTTTTGGTGTAATTCTCTAAATTTGATAGGGGTATTTAGGTCCTTTTCTATTTTAGACTGAAGCAGCTCCAGTTAACTGCTCCGATCAGACTCAGCTGGATTAGGATCATTTCTTGGATGAGTTTAATAAAAATCATCCAACTGGTTCATCTCACTGCTCTGTCAAATTGTTATAAACGAACATCATTATTCATTTCCATTCAGATGGATCATCTGAATGGAGAAACGAATAACACCTTACTAATATTAATTTAGTGTTAGTGAGAATTCCTTTTTATGACATATAAGCTGAGAATTCTTTATGGGACATTCTATCCTTTTAATGTAATTATTATAGAATGGAGAAAAAGTTATTAGAAAAGGAAAGGGAAATGGGGCAAGAGTAAGAAGGAAGGGTCCCATGTGAATCCAATTGAATTTTTAAAAAACAAATATGAGATTTACTTAGGGTTCTTGTTTTAGCGTCCAAAGCGGTCGCAGTCGCAGTTGCCGTTCAGCGACTTTTCCCTGTTTATATATGAAATAAATTGCTCCAATTGTTCTTGTTTTCTTTCAACCCACTTTGTATTATTTATTATTAACAAATATTGCTTGGTCCGAATTTTATTTTATGAATACAAGGTTAATTAGTTTTGAAATCTCAACGTAAATAAGTCAATAAAGAATATGACAGGTATAATTTTGTAACTGGAACTTAAATACACGGTCTGTGTTACGATCAGTATATTTAAGATACGGCTTTTTTTCTTTTCTTTCCGTGTACTTGCCTATTGACCGGCTGATGAATATCGGTTCTTCTTACATATATTGATCAATCACAATCTTTTACACAATTACAATTTTCTTATAATATATACTTGTGGTGGAAAATAAACACAGGAACAACAACAAGCGTAAAACCAAGTTACAATTTACACATTAATGCATGTATCTTTATTTTTTATTATTATAGGGTTTTCATATCAGTGCATGCATAATGCATTTGTTGTAGGAAAATAGTAGAACGGGCTAGAATAACAAAAGCAAACAAACTAGTTCCCTTTGTTTTTCACCGTAACCATTACGCTTAGAAATGATTTTCGTGATGAATCAAAGTTTTGTGTTGTTGTTTAATTATATTACAAACGACAATTTTATAACTTAATTCTAACGATCAATAAATTCGGTATTATTTTATTAATAAAAATTCCAAATCCGTAAATCCCTAAATTCATAGCACACAAATATTATAAAAGCTCTCTAATGTTCGGATCCAAGATTATGAATTAATTCCAGATTTCCAATCCATTAATGTCTTTCTTCGTTTAATGCTGACTCTTTTTTTCTTAACTTATATAGTAAGGAAACAAGAAAGGTTGAAGATGTACAAAGAAATTTCATTAACATTTTAAAACTTCAAATGTATTCTCCCAATAATCAAAATTTACCAAGTAAATCCCAAAAAAAACAATTCTGTCTAGATCTAGAATAACAAAATTTCACCTATTTGGATAAATATCTAGAAAATTTGTTAAATTTTATTTAATTACCATAAACATAAAAGAATTTTTTTTTATTTTTTTTGACAGCAAAATAATTTATTCAATCAATATATAACATTGCAAAGTTTATTTGATCATTAGTATATTCATTTAAGGTTAAAGGATCTTTAAGAAAAGGAAATTCAAATTATATTGTTGAAAAAAAAATACAAATTAAAGCCAGCAAAAAAAGAAAGAAAAAAAAAGGGAGAAACTGAAACGCGGAAAGGAGGCAAAATCGTCTCGTCGCCGTCTTCATCAGCTACAAACGAAAACTCGCTTCCGTTTCGATTTCTTTCTCCATTGTTATTGATTCAGTCAAGCTTTTTCTCCGAGAAATTTCCAAGATCTACCACATGCTACTATGAGCCTCCGCCACCGCACCGTCCCGCCGCAAACCGGACGGCCGTTGGCGGCGGATGCTGCCGGAATCGAAGAGGAATCGTACAATATCATTCCCGTTAACAACCTCCTCGCCGACCATCCTTCTCTCCGTTTTCCTGAGGTTCGTGCCGCCGCTGCTGCTCTTAAAACCGTCGGAGACCTTCGTCGTCCGCCGTATGTTCAATGGCGTTCTCAATACGATCTCCTCGACTGGCTCGCTTTGTTCTTCGGTTTCCAGAAAGATAACGTTCGTAACCAGCGTGAGCATATGGTGCTTCATCTCGCGAATGCTCAGATGCGTCTTTCCCCGCCGCCGGATAATATTGATTCTCTCGATTCCGCTGTTGTTCGTCGGTTTCGCCGGAAACTTCTTGGTAACTACTCTAGCTGGTGTTCGTATTTGGGGAAAAAATCAAATATCTGGATCTCAGATCGGAGCCCTGATTCGAGACGAGAGCTTCTCTATGTGGGACTGTATCTTCTCATATGGGGAGAGGCTGCGAATCTTCGCTTCATGCCTGAATGTATTTGTTACATCTTCCATAACATGGCCTCGGAGCTCAACAAAATCTTAGAGGATTGCCTCGATGAGAACACCGGCCAACCTTATTTGCCTTCTCTCTCAGGCGAAAACGCTTTCTTAAACGGCGTTGTTAAACCTATTTACGATACAATTCAAGCTGAGATTGATGAGAGCAAGAACGGTACAGTTGCGCATTCTAAGTGGAGGAACTATGACGATATCAACGAGTACTTCTGGACGGATCGATGTTTCAGCAAACTGAAATGGCCGCTTGATTTGGGAAGCAATTTCTTCAAGAGTAGAGGCAAAACTGTAGGGAAAACTGGTTTCGTGGAGCGCAGGACGTTCTTCTACCTTTTCAGGAGTTTTGATCGACTTTGGGTGATGCTAGCTTTGTTCCTTCAAGCCGCCATTATAGTAGCTTGGGAGGAAAAGCCAGATAATTCGTCGGTAACAAGGCAGCTGTGGAATGCTTTGAAGGCAAGAGATGTTCAGGTGAGACTTTTGACCGTGTTCTTGACATGGAGTGGTATGCGACTCTTGCAGGCTGTGCTGGACGCGGCTTCACAATATCCCCTCATTTCCAGAGAGACCAAAAGGCACTTTTTCAGAATGCTGATGAAGGTTATAGCTGCCGCAGTTTGGATTGTAGCTTTCACAGTCCTCTACACTAACATCTGGAAGCAGAAGAGGCAAGACAGGCAGTGGTCCAATACCGCGACGACTAAGATCTACCAATTCCTTTACGCTGTGGTGGCCTTCTTGGTGCCCGAAATTCTTGCTTTGGCTTTGTTTATAATCCCATGGATGAGAAACTTCCTGGAAGAGACCAATTGGAAAATATTCTTTGCTTTAACTTGGTGGTTTCAAGGCAAAAGCTTTGTGGGTCGAGGTTTGAGAGAGGGTTTAGTGGACAACATCAAGTACTCGACTTTCTGGATCTTTGTCCTAGCTACGAAGTTTACATTTAGTTACTTCCTGCAGGTTAAGCCAATGATTAAACCCTCAAAGCTGCTATGGAACTTAAACGATGTCAAATATGAGTGGCATCAGTTTTATGGAGACAGCAATAGGTTTTCTGTCGCATTGTTATGGTTGCCAGTTGTGTTGATATATCTGATGGATATCCAAATTTGGTACGCAATCTATTCTTCGATTGTTGGTGCTGTTGTTGGGCTATTTGATCATCTGGGGGAGATCAGGGACATGGGACAGCTTAGGCTTAGGTTTCAATTCTTTGCTAGTGCTATTCAGTTCAACCTAATGCCTGAGGAACAACTCCTGAATGCTAGAGGCTTTGGTAACAAGTTCAAGGATGGCATTCATAGGTCAGTCCGTGGAAGCATGCTACTAATATTCCTATATAATTTACTGTACAACGCTTGACTTGACTGTACAAGCTGTGAAATTTTAATTTTGTTAAAGCAGATACGCTGCATATAATTCAATTTTCATTATTGTAATAACTTGAGGTTGTGTACTGTATGCAGATTGAAGCTAAGGTATGGATTTGGGAGGCCGTTTAAGAAACTCGAGTCGAATCAGGTCGAGGCCAACAAGTTTGCGTTGATCTGGAACGAAATCATCTTAGCTTTCAGAGAAGAGGATATAGTTTCTGATCGTGAAGTAGAGCTACTGGAGCTGCCAAAGAATTCCTGGGATGTGACGGTTATTCGCTGGCCGTGTTTCTTGTTGTGCAATGAGCTTTTGCTTGCACTGAGCCAGGCCAGAGAGCTGATAGACGCACCTGATAAATGGCTGTGGCACAAAATATGCAAGAATGAATACAGGCGTTGTGCTGTAGTTGAGGCATATGACAGCATCAAACATCTATTGCTCTCAATCATCAAAGTTGACACTGAAGAACATTCGATAATTACGGTCTTCTTTCAGATGATTAATCAATCCATTCAGTCAGAGCAGTTCACCAAGACCTTTAGAGTGGACCTGCTGCCAAAAATTTACGAAACACTGCAGAAATTGGTTGGGCTGGTAAATGATGAGGAAACAGATAGTGGGCGGGTGGTGAATGTTCTGCAGTCTCTTTATGAGATTGCAACTCGACAGTTCTTTATAGAGAAGAAGACAACTGAACAGCTATCTAATGAAGGCTTGACTCCTCGAGACCCAGCCTCAAAGTTGCTGTTTCAAAATGCTATTAGGCTTCCTGATGCAAGCAATGAAGACTTCTACCGGCAGGTTAGGCGTTTACACACGATTCTCACCTCTAGGGACTCTATGCACAGCGTCCCTGTGAATCTAGAGGCGAGACGGCGGATTGCTTTCTTCAGTAATTCGCTTTTCATGAACATGCCTCATGCCCCTCAGGTTGAGAAAATGATGGCGTTCAGTGTTCTGACTCCATATTACAATGAGGAAGTTGTATACAGCAAAGAACAGCTCCGAAATGAGACTGAGGATGGGATTTCCACCCTATACTACCTGCAGACAATTTATGCTGATGAATGGAAAAATTTCAAGGAACGGATGCATAGGGAAGGAATCAAGACAGATAGTGAGTTGTGGACAACCAAGCTGAGAGACCTCAGGCTTTGGGCTTCCTACAGAGGTCAGACATTGGCACGTACAGTTCGTGGGATGATGTACTACTACCGGGCTCTTAAGATGCTCGCTTTTCTTGACTCTGCGTCTGAAATGGACATTCGGGAGGGTGCTCAGGAGCTTGGTTCAGTGAGGAGTTTGCAGGG